ACACAGACTGGTGGGGGTGGATTTATGAAGTAAGCCTCTGAAATGAGCTCAGGTGCCATGATTGAGGAGGGGGGGGGGATACACAGACAGCATGGAGATCGCATATGCCTACTTTAATCTTTTCAAAATAAGGAAAGTAGGCTAAAAAGGGGAGTGTCGAGGGTCGTCCAACGAACAATTCGTCTCTGGACTATTGCACAGAAACAGATCACGTGACAGCGAACTAAGCTGAGCAAGCGAAAGACGAGCCCAGATGCAAGTGTACAACGCTCCCTCCACCCTCTCGCCCAAGCCAGCACTGCTGCAATTCCTATGTGAGGTTATCACTAGTCTATACGTTTCTTTTAGATCAAATAACTTACAGCAGCGCTGTGAGAAGCACAAATGCTACGAAGTCAGAATTGTCACAGGGAGTTGGAACGTGAGAACCAGATTTAAGGAAATCTCCCATGAAGAAATTTATCTCGCATTTAATTACCAACGTGTTTAACTCTGATGGAGTGACCCAAACGAATAAACTTTAAGTAGTTTACGATAATTCTCTCTTGTTCCTTTATTTTCTCTTTCTTTCTTCATCCACCATTCATTCTTCATCTTCTTAATATTTCATATTCGACGCCATGAAGTATACAGTATTCAGCGGTATTCAGTTCATGCCATGTATTCGATAGGTGTCTGCTTCGAATCCTTGGCGGACTACAGGTAATCCAGAGATTTCATTCGATACAAGCTACGCGAAATCAAGTTTACATCATCATCATCATCATCAGTAATCTGTCAGATGACAGGTCCACAGTCTCTTCCAAAACAATTCCTCCACTTAATGCGATCTAGAGCTTTCTCCTTCAAATGACGGTATCCTCTTCTGTCCCCAAGGTCATCCAGCATCTTCTGTCTTCTTGTCATTTCTATCCGCCCCTCTATCTTTCCTTTGATAACTTCTTTTAGAAGGCAGTTTCTGCGTAAAACACGACCAATTCAATTAGCCTTCCGTTTTCTTATTTCGTGTAGGATATTCCTCTGCTCACTGACTCTAATTAACACTTCTTCATTTCTCACATAATCGGTCCAACTGATCTTCTCCATCCTTCTCCAACACCACATTTCGAAACTTTCCAGATGTTTCTGATCTACTGCCCTAANCACATTCATTTCCATGCCATAGCACCTTCCAATTTCAATTAGTCTATCAATCATGCCCTGTAGCACAGTTTCTTCCTTAGCCATTAACACAAGGTCATCTGCATATTTCACAGTTTGAATAATTTGCCCTCCTAATTTGAAGTCTCCGAGCCCATCCAGAGCTTCCTTGGTAAGGCATTCGCTGTACAAGTTGAACAGAATTGGTGATAAACAGCATCCTTGTCGAACTCCTCTTCCAATCTGCACACTTCTTGTCTCCCCTCTGTCCAGTCGTACTCTTACTTTCTGATCCATGTACAATTTGCTAATCAATCTTCTTTCACGCCAATTGATACAAGTTTATATATCTATGTAGAAAACACATACATATATGAATGACTACATGTCACATTCTTGTTCCGGGAGAAACTTCTCCAGCGTACCTATATGTCTAGGAGCTATTCTTAAAATTATGAGCCTGAATAAAAATCAAATTACCTCTGCTGAGGGGGCGCACGCGATAGTGTAGTTGTTTGAGACACTATGCTACAAGCTGGAATGTCGCGGGTTCCAGTCCGAAAGAAGTGGATTTTTATGTCCAATTTACCTAATCCTTCCAGCCGCACGATGGACCTGGGGTCGACTCAGCCTCTTAACCAGGATTCTTCTTGGGGGGGGAGAGCATCTGTGAGCCGATTGTCTACAGGAAATGTGGAAGCCTCTATAAACCCTATGGGCCTTCACGGCCTGTTACAGGGATAGCTTTAACTAACTTTACCTTATCTCTGCTGAGGAATTCGCTCGTTTCAAAGGTTTCTTCCGAAGTAGGCAAGAGGAGGGTCTCGTGCGGAAGTTAATTAATATAGTTTAAATACGGTAAATTTATTTCAATCAAGAAATACGGGCGTTCACACGCGATACTAAATTTTGACCTACAGTGCAACGATTTTAGCACGATAGAAACACCTGATGATGGCCATATATAGCCGAACCATGTAAGACTATGGAAGAAGGCTGACTCTACAGTGTGTTCCGTTCAAACCTCCCACATTTTAATTAATCATTGCGAACAATTTGTGATAAATTGTGGATTACAATTAACACTAGATGAAAGAAAAACTAAATTTTATTTCCGTTTTTCTTCCGTGAAGCTACAGTATCTGGCCGCGTATACCTTGACATGTTAGAACAGTTCCTGTATGCCCAGGTAGCCGATCTGCAGCCTAACAAAATCTTCCAACAAGATGGAGGCCCCCCCCACATTGGGGTCTGGATGTTCGGGCGTCCCGCAATGCCCCTTTCCAAGACCGCTGGATTGAACGTGGCGGACCAATTCGGTGGCCACCACGTTCACCGGACCTCACTCCGCTCGATTTCTTCCTCTGGGGTTACGTGAAGGACCGTGTGTTCGTGCCTCCAGGGAATAATCTCCCAGATTTACGAGCCCGCATCCGTGAAACGAGTGCTACTGTACCAATGGACATGTTGGAAAGAACGTGCCAAGAAATTGAATACAGATTGGATATTGTTCGTGCTAGCAATGGTGCATATGTAGAGGTTTATTAGTGTGTCAAATAATTTTTTTTAGTTGTTCTTGTATTTCCTGTAGCTTCATTTTCCTGTCATTCATACTTTCTGCTCTAAGACCTGATAAAATATGGAAGGTTTGAAAGGAACACCCCATAATAAGTTGCATTTAAGACTGAAATATATGTGAAATAAATGATCTATTAATGGAACAGGATGTTTAAATACAATATTAGGAAAAGAAAACATCGGGTGCATCCGTTCTTCCGTGAGTTTAAACTGAGGCGTTTACATTGTTTCGAAAGAACTTAACCTGGATCCAGACTCATTCGTCTCATGAGAAACTCTTTCCCAAGCCAAATTTATTTTGTCCTGCCTAGCATAGTCCAGGTGGCGCTTGTTATATATACCAGACTCTTGTTCAATTAACTGTACAAAAAATTAGCAGCTTTGTCAACCTTTCGTACCATCTCAAGAAACAAGCGAACCACTGACGCGCGTTATAGTACAGCTGACACTAGGAAACCACGCGGCAACGAAACTGTGAGAAGACTGGCATGCTCCATTGCCTGGAAGTTCAGTTTCTCAGTCTTTCCGCGAGTTGCACTGCCCTTTCCTCAATTTGCGCTGCTCCATTCAGTAACATGTCTTTAACTCAGCCTGATAACAATTCTCGGATATTGCGGTTCTGTTGCACTTGCCAGTTTCCTTGGTGTGTCCTCGGCCTAAGTGTCCACATTTTTTTTTTATATTTATTATTTAAGGGATCTGTCAGAATCGAGCGTAGTGACACGATTTTAGTAACTAGACACGAAGTTTAGATTGGTATTTGGACGTATTGGACTCGTACATAATTCGCGACTACAATTTACAAATGTTTAATGCGCACACTGCTGTTCTCATTTATCCACTGGATCACTAGACGTTCCTTCGCTACTGTCTTCGCAAGGCGTTGCTACGTAACGGCTTCCAACCGTCGGGATTCCTCCGCCAGCGCGATTCTCTCACAAAAACCTCAGACTCGGACTCGAACTGACTAAAGACTGCCTACAGACTCCTCTGACTCGGTCGGTTAAATTGCTGCTGGTTTCGTTAGCACGGACATTCCTGGCTTCAGTCTCGAGATCCATGGCCAGGATTTTTTTCCCTCCTAGACGACATGTACGTATTTAGAAAGAAGGGGCGGGGTAGTCTTTCTACGGAGGGGCTACGTTTGTTTTGCCCCTGACAGCGTCCAGGTCACTAAGGACTCTATGCATCCTCTGTCACTCCACTATAGTTAGTTAGACTGTGTTACAGCTAACTGTAGTTCTGCCAGATGAATATCCAATAAATCGCTTCATCTAATCCGGAACCCATTAATTACTTGTCACGTTACCAGTAAACGTGGAAATATATTAGAAATAAAAAAATATTTTACTGGATATTTTTAACACTTTACAAAATCTCTTTATCTGGAATAATTATATAACACATATTTTGGACTCAAAATTGCATATGCTAGTTACATAGTGGTGCCTCAGCCATGTGCATGGATGAGGGGACCTTCCATGTGCAATGTGTTGCTAGCAGTCCATGGAAACAAAAAAACTGAGAGCTAGCAACATAAGGAATTTATTATAGTTGTCTGTTTCTGACCAAACCTGGAATGTGTGTATATTTTATTAACATTCCCCAGTTCTAGACTTCATATGAATCATTCTGTGGTTCTTGGGTAGTTAGGTGCTGATACCGACATGGGTAAGTTAACAGGCACATTTTTATCATGAACATATCAAAAATATGTAGCTTCCACTGAACTATGCATAACATGAAATACCTGTTTGATAATATAGTGGAATATGTTTGATTTGGTGACTACTGTATTTACCTATACACAGGCACCACTTCTTATATTTTCAGTCCAAAAATAGGGATGTAATTTACATGAACACTATCAAAATGCCCATTTGTTCCTGCCATTAGCACAACAACTCTACTACTTAGAAGGTATGACAAGAAAACCATTTAACAAAAACCATAGTAAAATATCATAAGACCTTCATGTCAAGCCATATGTTTCCTTCATATACAAAATTTATTCAATGAGAACAAATGCAGCCTATATATAAAATGAATCATTTTATGATAATGTAGGCCTACAGGATGAGTTGATACAACAAATACAGGAGGTTTGCACAATATATATATATTACAAGTTATAAGCTGAATTTTCATATGAAGAAAACACATTTATAAAGTGAGATTAGAAATATGATACATATATCTTGCTCTACCAGGAATGTATGTTTAATTTGCATCTTTTCACTTTTATTAACTTCACAAGAGGGTAAATCATAACACACACACACAAAAAAACATGTTGATATATTTTTGTCCAAATAAATTATCTTACCAAAACTAAAACTTTATGTTAACCTGACAATAATGTCATAAGAAATGACAAATTACACATTGTTCTTATGATGTTCAGAGGTCTCAACTTACTGTATTCTTTAGGTTTGGGTAAAACATTATGTCTGCTGATTCAGAACTAGTAAAAGCAAACTAAACCTCTTTCAATGTCAGAAAATGTTCTACCTTCTGGTCCTTCGGAAGACTTTCTCAACATGTTGGTCTTCATGCCTGGAGATTGCTGATTTCTGCAACGGGTCTCAAGCTTTTCACTGTGTTAAAATTTTCATGTGTTTAGATTCTGGTCTTCTGGATCTTATGAGTAAATTCCTTCTGTTGCTCTCCTCCCACTTTTAATTCAAAACATTCCATGAAACTATATCTGTTATTCCTGCTTGCCATACACTCTTCAGCTGCACTACTAGAGGTGATGAATGTGTGGTCAAAGAATTATCAAACATGACCTTTTCTGAAAACAAACTGTATCATATTGTGAGAAATAAAAAATGCACACAATCTGAAACAAATGGAAATTTGTCAGTTAACATAACTGTACCTTAAATGCGCATGGAATTGAAAATACTAATTTTCTACCAACAAATACAGGCAGCATATATATGCAACAGTAGTGTTTAACAGTATAAACACAGAATTCAATTTGAACACCAAGGAAAGTGAATGCCTTTGGTGGACAAAAGAAAAAGTTTCACAAAAATCAGTTTATTTACAGAGAGCAACAGGACTGGATGGGCTACCACCCCGTATAGAATTTTATCCCACTATGTTAAGAGTAAAAAAAAAATGCCTAAAATCAGTCAAGTATGTGTCTAACAATCTATGTCTCTTGCTTGGAAGAAAAAGGTCTTGGTAAAATTCATATTATTACATATCTGAGAGAAAAAATATCTTACAATTGTGTGACAAAAATAATTTTTGCATTCTAAAAACTGACTGGTGGAGGTAAAATCATTTCATTTTAAATATATAATAAGAAGTTTTGGAAGTAAAAGAAACACAAAACACCTGAAAATCTCACAATTAAGATCTGACTTTGGTTCCATTTCAGAACCAAGTCACAGAATTAGGCTCACCTTTGCAACAATCATATATGAGACAAAATATCAAACACAGTGTAAAAGAGACTGAAGGAACTCACTGCTACACAATGGTGTGTGCCTCTAAGCCTCTGTATCAACACAGAAACAGTACCTCAGTTATTTATAATACTATGTTCTGAGGATCACAAAGCCATTTGGAAAGTACAAAGTTAGCAATCCTCAAACCAGAAGAGGCATAGCTTTGATATCAAAGTAGAAAATGATGTTACATGAATGCTTAATTTATAAGAAAATGTTATATGGAACAGCATACAACTACTCTATGAGAGCAAAAATCAGATAGAAATGCACAGCAACATAAAGCACTATTTCTTCTCTCTCTGACTGAAGGTGTATTTTGAATATTAAGAAAAATGTATCTTAAAGACATACCTTTGAGTACAATTTTTATTTTATCCAAGATTTCCTTCTGCTGTAAAGAATGCTGACATCTATTGAGAATAAAACATAAGTGGTACTGTTCACCCATCCACATCCAAAACAAAACTGCATTTTTGATGCAAGTTAAAGCTGGCATCCAACTTACAACTCAACTTACTAAGCTGTTTATGACATATATGAAATAAAACTGGGACGAATAGCAGGCTCAAATATTCAAATTAGCTAGGGAACCACCTAATGCATTCAATTAATTTATAAAAAAATATTATATATTGTGGACTACATGTAGAATGATTTATGCAATCCTCTTGTAACAGAATATATAATACTGAGCAAAAATTTACTAAAAATACAGTGCAACCTCAAAATAATGAGAATTTACAAAATTCAAAAAAAGTTTTTTTATGACAAGCATTCATAATTATTAAACTACATAATCCTTCAGGCCCAGCTTCCATTATGTACATTATTACAGTGCATCTCACATTTTCTGCCCTATGCACCAAGTATTGAAATTTTGGGATACTTAAAACAAAATTAATTTATGCTGTCTGTATGAAATAACAGTCTGACAGCATCAAAACTGATGTTCTGTGAACATTCCCTAAATGGTCATAAGTGGTTACCATGTAAGGATATAAAAATAATGAATAATAATTCATCATTCATGATGTATACATTTTCTCATGCTCACATAACTCACATAACCTCTCGTACTTGCAACCATCAGCCAGTCATTTTCAGCTGTGAATCAGAACGGCTCTGCACATGCATACTATGAACTTCTACATCAGAGATGCATTAATTCCCTATTCAGACATACATCTCTCAGATTTTGGATTTCATACATTTTTCTTCCAAACAAGGGAGTGGTACTGGATATGATTTAATAACCTCCAGCAATAAATTACTTGGGAAGCAAACCTGTATTACAGTTCACACAATACATTGCAGCTGGCTTGGAATCACTCATTATCATGAAAATGCCAGAAAAACGCCCTCATTCTATGAGATTTTTTCATATACATAACATTAAGAAACTGGTACCCGTATTTTCTACTCATTATAATGAATGCTGTTATAAGCCATACTCATTTCACTGTGGTTCCACTGCATTTCAATAAGAATTCTTCTATTCTTCTGTTCAAAGTATTAAACTAAAAGCAACTGCATATAATTTGATACCGCAATTCATACCAAGAAAAACAAATTTACCAGAAAACAATAGTTAAACACTCTTTTGAAACACATACAATACATTCTTATTTTTACCAAAACATAAGTGTGCATGTTTTTTACATAATTTTATATTTCAATGCACCAAAACCATACCTGCTTCTTTACAAACCTTGTGAAGTAGAATTATTCACTCATAAGTACAATATTACTAAACAAGTAGGGCTCATCACATTTACTAAACACTGGGCAAAACAAAACTTCATGTAACATACTCATTTTAACTGTGACCCAATTATTTATAATAAAATTGTTCATTATTGGAACAATTAAAAAATAAGCTTGCTCAGTTTACGCACAAATGATATTACAAAGAATTATTTGAATTAATAGTGAACAATAAATTACCAATACATCACTTTTCTTATAAGATGTCATTAATCGTTATGAATTTTTATGTACTGTTTGCGTGAATTATGTCAACTTCTCTGTTCTGCTACAAGTAATAAAACACCAGCATAAGAAGTCGTTTTCTCAGATTTGTATTTATATTCATGAAACAAAAATGAAGAACGAACATCCATGAAGACACCTCTGCTGCTTCAATGGAGAGGTGTAGATTATAAAACCTTACTGCTTTGTCCTTGGAAGGGTATGGACTTGGCATACTGCCACATAGAGTATTTGAAAATATCATCTAATATTCTGGTAGAAAGTATCCGAAATGAAGAAGACTGACAGAAATCTAACATTTCCAGTCACCAAAAAAAGCTCAAAATAAAAGAAATTAGCAGATCTCAGACAGAAGGCCTAACTGATCACTTTGTAACTCTTAGTCAGTGTCCACAATTAAAAAAAAATCTTCACTGGTAACATTCACTCAAAATGCGACCACTGATGAAAGCAGGCTGTAATACGGCTACTCAGACACTTCTACTTCACAGCCCAGTCTTCCACCATTAATTCCCACTAAGTCTTGGTTTTCAATTATAAACAGAACACCTGGATATAAAGACCTTACATCCTCTTCTGTTCCACGTTAACAAGGGGCTTTAACTGTTCAGGATCAGAACACCAATGGCAAACTGCTGGGCTCACTGCTGTCACCTGCCATATGCCGTTACACAACTGCATTTCATGAACATATTATATGCAGTTGTAATCTTTACCCTAATGTGTGACTGTACATATACAATTACCTAATTCTTATCACAGTCAGAAATTGAATCCAAACCACAACAGGAGAAAAAAAAAACTCATGTGCTGTATTAACTGTACAAGACATACTTTATTCTTCAATGTTCTTAACTTTCTGAAAACAGATATAATCATTCAACTAAAACACGGCAAAATAAAAAAGAAATTAATGAAAAAACACATAAAATGTAGAATTCGTTAATAGGAATAATTTAAATATTTATATTTAGCTATTAAATCTTGAGTGTAACGAGAGTTTCTGAGTGTAATTTGCCAGTAACCATGTGTGGGATGGGATGACAGCATGTTGCAATATTCTTGCATCTCCTTAGCATTTGAGCAACTGCCTGGAGCACATGCAATTGCAGGATACCATACTCCTGACACACATCATCTTCTGAAGCTAAACACTGAAACAAGCATGGAATTATTTTCAGAATACGGAGTTTACAGTCAGCAGACAGGAACATGTAGAGAAGGAAAAATTACGTATGTAAGATGAAAACTGTATTTTGGAATTTGTACTGTCCCTGCATTTTGACAGACTTTAAGCATAAACAATAATGGACCACAGTATGTTATGGAATTCATCATGGAATTACTTAAGATGAATAATCCGACGTGCAGTGAGGAAAGATTGCTTAAATGGGTTAAACTTCAATATGTGACTGCTGTAACAATATGCAAACAATGCACAGCAGCTATGTAACTGACCTGCTGGATGTCTTGGTGGCATTCTCAAGCGACATATGTGTAGACTTTCCTACAAAGAGACAAGAATATTTCAGAGCAATTACAAGATTCAAAAGCATTAAACCTGTCTCTACTCAGTTGCACCTGGGTAGCTAGATGGCTGGTATAAGTGTGATTATTCATGTGTTAGTATACTAAGAACAATTTGGCCACAAGATGCTGAATGACATATATAAAATAACAGAAAATTTCCAATTGATCAATAAACTGAAATTTCCAGCACAACAGCAAAACACTACATACCTATCTTCTGGTGTCCTTGCTAGGTATTCTCTTTCTATAAGTCCTTCTATTCGTTTCTTTATGATAACAGGGGATGGCAGAAACCGACTCTTCAGTTGTTCTGTCACTTCAGCCACCAATACATTATGCTAAAACAGGTTATATCATTAAACAGCAAATGCACACTGAGACAACATTGCAGCAGTCACTAAAAAGAAAATTAGAGATGTCTTTAAAATGAATATGTTACTTTTGCATTCTGAAGCATAATCATGAAATCCACCAATTCTAGTAGTTGGTATTTTTGAAAACTAGAAGTGAGAACTGTGTCATGATCTAGCCAAAATCTGCACTACCTTAATCTGTCTGAGAACAATCAAATTTGAAAACACAGTTATATCNAGAAAAAAAAAACTCATGTGCTGTATTAACTGTACAAGACATACTTTATTCTTCAATGTTCTTAACTTTCTGAAAACAGATATAATCATTCAACTAAAACACGGCAAAATAAAAAAGAAATTAATGAAAAAACACATAAAATGTAGAATTCGTTAATAGGAATAATTTAAATATTTATATTTAGCTATTAAATCTTGAGTGTAACGAGAGTTTCTGAGTGTAATTTGCCAGTAACCATGTGTGGGATGGGATGACAGCATGTTGCAATATTCTTGCATCTCCTTAGCATTTGAGCAACTGCCTGGAGCACATGCAATTGCAGGATACCATACTCCTGACACACATCATCTTCTGAAGCTAAACACTGAAACAAGCATGGAATTATTTTCAGAATACGGAGTTTACAGTCAGCAGACAGGAACATTTAGAGAAGGAAAAATTACGTATGTAAGATGAAAACTGTATTTTGGAATTTGTACTNAACTGAAAGTGAAAGGAATGTAACTTCTGGTCTACACTGTGACGTTAATTTCCTCGGCGAAAACATAAATGCCAATTAATGAATTTAAATTATATTATATGCTAGTACTGAGACTGTTCTGTAAGTGAATGCAACTTCTTTTAATGTTTAGAACTCTCTTTGGATGTGAGATATTAATTTCTCATACCACAGTTTCTCTTTATGTGAAATTCTTGTTACAGTGCTCCATATACCAGCACATTTACAGGAAAGCCGAGCAGGCTTTCTTGTATGGTAAAGGTACAGATACTCCACCCAAAAAATGAAATGGTTAATGAGCAACAGGAATATCATACACACACAAATGTTTTAAAAGATCTGAAGCATTTACTTCAACATTTAAAATTAAATTGAGGCACAGGAGCCATTAATACATCAACGAGGTAAACTGAATGTATTTCACATTATTATGGCACCTTTCACTGTAAAAACAGATACATTTATTCATGCTATTCGATAATACTGTATTTTATTTATTTATTTATTTATTTATTTATTTATAAACCATCTTGTGATGGTTCACGTGATCAAAACACAGCTGTTAAATGTTATAATTACACTAAAACAAATGACCAAATCATCAGTTCAAATACCTGGCACATTTTTAATACCCAAGATTAAAACATACAAATTAATTTAAATATCACTATCACCAAATAAATAATAAAAATTGTTAAATTGAAAAGTGTACTAAACATGCTCAATTTCTGGAACTGATCAAAGTACAGTGAAATACAACACTAGGAGAACAAAAATTGCTCCACACTGCATTTTATTTTCCTAATAACTATAGAATATGGTTATTAAATTATGCATTACTGAATTAAAACTGGTTCTCAGGCCAAGACTACTTAAATGAATACTTACAGGCATTCGTTTACGTGCTTTCATTATCCTGACAATAGCAGCCTCAATTTCATGCTTTCTGTCCTCATCCACTTTATTTCTGGTTTCCCTGCGCTCAGGCTCAGATTCGCCCTTTGCAGCAACTGTCTGGATCTTTACTCTAAAACATACATTTTTATCCTTTTTAAAGAAATCCCCACAGAAATTCATTTATATGCATATCTACACATAACATAACTATGGAGAAATAAACTGCACAGGCTATATCCCAATGTGAGTACTGTTGTGAATATTCTGAAAAAAGAAAGAAGACAGAACCTATGTCATGACTGTCATGCACTGTCTTCGTTTAACCTCTGACGTGAATACAAGCATGACCACATCCATCGAAGTGGTCATTTGAGCAGACTGCCATTTCACTGTTATAAAGACCACAGAAACTGGAGAGTGCAGCCTAAGCAGACAAAAATGGAAAGGCATATTTCGCATGTTCAACAAAAAGACGAGACAGTATCTCAAAGCCCACTGCTGAGATGAGACTTTGATCCATGATTTCACAGAATATTCACTGGAAGGGCACCTCTTCCTTGGTGGAAAACAATTTAACGATCAATTACTGTTGATGCCATCAGTCATTTGGGATCATGAGGGTATTACCACTGTTGCATCTCTAGAATGTTGTGCCCCTTCTATTGCTAACTGCAAACTTCAAAAAGCTATAAGGAAGAAACAAAGAGGGGTGACCACTGGGTGGGTTGTACATTTTGCACTATAACATTCAGACACTAAATGCCCAATATCTCAGGGATGTTTGCAAGAAAACTGTACAAATGGCAGGAGATTTCAATGTAACTGCCCATATGTGCAAAGTTAACACTAAGAAGTATAATAAAGTGACTGAATATTAGGAACGATGAGATGAACGATGAACACTGTCGTCTTCAGGCTTATGACATCATGTAGCCTGATAAGTACCCACCTACCAAAGTACATGGTGTCACAACTCTGAAGGCCACAATACAATCTGCTATATAATTACATTGTACACCACAATACAAATTTGAAATGTTTCCAATACACAACAGATCACATAAGACAACATTCAAACATGTTTAAAGTTACCTTGTCACCAATAAAAACAGGAAATAAAATATGGCAAGGAGTTACTCGGGACCACATATTATTATATTTTACTAGAAAACCTACTTTGTATACTCACACTCCAATCATAACTGCTTACTGAAAAGAAAATACAGGTTTCACGATGTTCTTCAAAATAAACATTTTTTGGGGGTGAAAATGATGACAGCTGATGATACGGAGACTAATACTGTTGGCAGATTCCCTTACTACCAGAATTAATTCTACCTGCAGCCAGCACATACTGCACTTTAATTGTTTCTTGCATCCTGTTGTGTATTTAATCGATATTAATCAATTTTACCGACCACACAACATATTTTTATTATTATTATTATTACACTACATGTTTCGAACTCAAGAGGTCATCCTCAGGTGTACGAACACAGCTGTATAATTACACGCAATCACATTCGTCTTCTCACTTGTTCGATCCTGTATCTCATTCAGGCCCACGCTTGATATATTATTGAGCATGGGCCTGAATAAGATACAGGATCGAATAAGTGAGAAGACGAATGTGATTGCGTGTAATTATACAGCTGTGTTCGTACACCTGAGGATGACCTCTTGAGGTCAAAACATGTAGTGTAATAATAATAATAAAAATATGTTGTGTGGTCGGCAAAATTGACTCTAATATTACATACTGCACTGTCGGTACACTCTGTCATCATAATCTTGTGCAGCATTACAACAATTTTATGGTAGAGAGAAATGGATGAAATTAGAAATGAAGCTAAAATGCAGAGCCAATGTAAGGCACAAACGGAGCTATCTCAACATCAGCGATGCTAATCATACAGCACCAACTGCAGAAACCAAAAACAGTCTGTAAGGACTGATGCATATTTAAGTGAACTCAGACCATACAACATATAATGTAAGAAGAATCAAGATGTCTCCCTGAAGCATCAATGAAAATTCAAGCATTAAAGTGAGACCAATAAACCTGATAAGACAGTCCAGTTCTAGAAGAAGAAAAGGTCTGAAGAAAGAACAACTGTTTTTCCTGAATATAAGAGATAGTTAAACTTGAAAGGGCTGAAAATGTATGGCATAATTATAAAAACAAACGAATATTTCACATATAATTCAGGAATTTTCTGGCTTATGACAAAATAATTAACATGATATTGAGTCTCATAAACAAAAACACTTACCTATGAAGTTTTGAAGTGAAAGAGTCATTCACAAAAAATATATGGTTTGGCTCAATATCTTTTGTTTTCGGGGTTTTAATTAGGATCCTCTGTGTAGCTTTTCCCATAGCTAAAGACTGCAAGGCACGGATCAAATCTCTTTCTGGTATATCTGTTTCACTCTGGATTTCCTGAAAATAAAAACCCAGGGCCAGTTTTCTTAGTAATTCATGATACAAGTGATAGAAGCAGCAGCAGTGAAACAAGGTATAGTAGTAGTAGTAGTAGTAGTAGTAGAAGTAGTAGAAGAAGAAGAAGAGTAGCAGCAGCAGCAATAGTAGTGGTGGTGGTGGTGGTGGTGGTGAAACCCATTTGGAGTACAAGCCAACTTTAGGCTACAAGATGGAGTTATGAGTCTCCTCAGCTTGATCTCATCTCCAGATTGGTTTATCTCTGTACTGCTTGATCATATTACTCGGGCGGTACCAGGCCTGACTGACAGATTAAAACCTCTGTCTTTGTTAAAGCTTCTGTGGTGAAGTCTATTTCAACAGCCTCCTTCATCAAGTGGCACATGTAACCTGAAGCTTTGCCTAGTATGAAGATGCTGTTAAAGTTGATATGGAGTACTGTTTCAGTCTATGTTCTGAGACAGCAGAAGTCTTGTATGTCAGGAAAAAAAGGAAGGAAGAAAGAAAGGACAGATAAAAAAAGAGAAATCTAGTATAAAAATGCCTCCAAGAACTAGAAAATGATGAATTCAGACACTAAAGAGGGAAAAATGTATACAAAATGTAACATGAAAACTGAACTGATTTATAAACTGTCCATTTTTAATGCACTGTAATTCTGGTAATTCATCGAGAGAATTAGTAAAAGTGAAATTATTTTTGTACTGCATTCCTGTTCCTGTAATTCATCTGCAATGAAGGACAGCATGTCTTTCTTTCATTTCTTTCCCTTTCTCCAATTAAATGGTCATCAAGGCTGGCTTTGTGGAATACACCATCATGTTTTGAAGCAGATAAGGGTTTAGTCAGTTCTCTGAATAGCGTGTGAAAAACATTCTGCTGTGATTCTGCCTCACTGCAGTAATGGCATGTGAAAAGCAAGATCTGTTAGACTTAAGTATGTAATTTAAACTCCTCTGTGGCTATAGTAGCATTTCATAGCATAATACTGTCACATGATAGAGTGATTACAGATCAGGTTTAGATTGATAATCATAACTACAAGTATTTTTTTTTGCTAGTGGGGTGGGACTAAGTCCCTTGCACTGCGGCCACTTCTGGAGCATTGTACCAGCCCCAGATGATGAGGGTGATTGTGGAGCAATTGGTAGAATGAAGATTGGCAGGGGAAACTGAAGTACTTGGAGAAAACCCGCCCCAACACCACTTTGTCCACCACAAATCCCATTTGAACAGACCCAGGATCGAACCCGGGCCACCGCGGTGGGAAGCCAGTGACTAACCACTTGAGCTATGGCATGGCCCTAAATACAAGTAAGGATTATGCTCTCACTGTTCTACACACTTCACAAACCAATATAGGTCACACTAGGTCTTCTCAATATGTTATAGTCTTCACTAGCCATTGCTTCATAGCGGATTACAACTGCAGACATTCCCCTTCGCCGGGGTTCCCAACTGTCCCCAGCCTCAGCTACCTGCTTCTCACAGCAAAATCTAACAACAGCTGCAGCCCAACGGTTAACCGACTGACTGACTTGTCCTGCTGATAACATCTTGGCATGGACCACATAGAAAATACCACTCCTCAGCTGCAGTGCAACTGTTGCTGTTCAATTTCTGCCTTTGTGTCTACTGGAGGAGCTGCCACTATGAACGGCTGTTGTACAGTTGCTTATTTCATAACTGTTGCCTAGCTATGGGTCTACATGTCACAATATTGATGTCAAGAGGATATAAAGCTATTCAGGTTCCTGCTGTCAACACAATGCCTAACAGAGACCTGCAAAAATGTGCAGAACTACATTTTTTGTGACTGTACAGTAAAATTTGATACCACACTGTGCATGCAGAGAAACTGTAAAGGTAGTTAGGTTCCTCATGTCACGGAACAGCCTGACGGGGACTTGCAACAATGTGCAGAACTGCACTTTTCACTGACTGACAGAGGTGGGAGAGGGGGCCCACATGTATTATTTTAGTGTGTCATGTTATCACAAAGATTGGGAACCCCTACTGTATGGCATACCTCATAATTGAGCTTGTCCCTGTTGTTGAAAAGCATGAGAACACACATCTGATACGTCGATACTTGAATGATGTGTTTACGAGGTCCACTGCTTCGCTGTGATGATACAGACACCGAGTTCGTTGAAGAACTAGCCCCATCTTTGCCCTCACCTTCCTCTTTACGTGGTCCATAAAAAACCGCATTTAAGTCTGAGGAACCTAACTGCGGCTGCAACGTTAGCTGTCGACCACTGTGTTTTGCAAGGTAGAATCTGTTTAAAAATTTACAACAAAACTCAAGTTGTCATCTAATACATGGATACTTAAATATATTTAAAGCATTCTAGCTGTTCATGTATGTTACCACACAATAAAACATATTCGCAATCTATACTGTATGTTAAAACAAAACCGTTTAACAAATTGTAAAGAAAAAGATACATATGAACAAAGAAATTCATTTACATATGCAAGTGAAACACTGTCCTAATAATGACACATCATCATTTTATTTTATACACAAGCAGCCTCGTACATACTAACAACAGTCAACCTTAGGATGATAAAGAACAAACATAGGAAGGGGGGGACAAACATGGATACTACAAAACGAAAATAAAACGGAACGAAGAGAGAGTTTTTATTCTCAAACAAACACATTTTAGTGTGACTGATATGCAACAGAATGGTATACATTTACTTATGCTCTAGTGCAGGTGGCAGTTTCAATAAGTGATCGACTGTCATGATTCTAATGTCATTTTAAATAAAAGACAGATTGTGAACAGTTTTAGGTTACCTTAGAGACGGAAATGAATGAGCAAGCGATAACCTCAATGCAACAGGATGCTCAACTATAATATTATGTCTCAGAAGATTGTACTCTTCATAACCATTGCTGTGAGAACTACAAATCCTACATATTTAAATGTTTGACTTCTCATATTTTAGAAATGCATGTGTGATATGAAACTGAATCTTCATTATGCATTTTGCTTCCTTAACAAATGAGAAAGACAGACAGACAGATAGAAAAGCAAAATTTTAGCATGGGGTACTCAAAAATGATGAAGATATTTAATACCAGAGAAAAAATATAAATTACTCTTTTAAATTACTATTTTCTGAGCATACACTTCCACAGGTAAATCTAGTAACATATAAATTAGGGTACTGCTATGAGTAAGAAATACAGAACCTTTTACTTCACTGTCTAGTTGAATTCACTTACCTCCTGAATGCCTCAAATGCATTACGAGGAGCAGTAGGAATACTACAGTTTGGTGTGGCGCTTTGTGTTGGCCAAAAGCCAGTTGTAAGAACTCGAACACTTAAATCCACACCATGCAAATTTGTCTGAAAACAGGTGACCTTTTTTTAAATAAGGAACAATTACTTTTACGCCACAGTAGTTCATATGACATTTTGGTTTTTAACAGGAAACAGGCAAAATGTCAAATTTCAATTGCCACATTTCATCACTTTATCTTATACTATAATGATTTCAGGTGAGTAAAACGGTACTTTGCTTCAAATCAGGTGATTAAAACAGGCACTTCGTTTCAAAACAGATGTTTTCAGGTAAGAAAGTCAAAAACAAAAGCATGGAAGCCATTGAGAATTGTACAATTAAAAATAACTTGATTTTCTTGTGATGCAGACCTTCACTTTTATAAGCTTCACCCCATTATATTGTCATAGCTAGAAAAACAAAATATTTCCAGATCCTCACTGTATCCCTTCACAGTGCTGCAGCCATCTTTCTCCAGGTAACAAAACTTTCCAGTAATCAGGGTGGACGGATGGATGGACATCTAAGTAATTGTGATAATTTATCTTACATGAAATAATTATATCTTGGTGTACCAATGAATTATGAAGCGTCTCCCAGTGTTCATATAAATTAAATCTGTAATCATTAGTTCCAGCTGATATCTCAGTCAGTGTCAATAGCTTCCCATCACTACCTAAGGTTATAGTGATTCATGAATTTTGAACATTATGAAGAAATACTACATTTGTAATGAATGATATAAAATTCAGTAAAAATTCAGGACTTCACACAGAATAAAGTACTTTCACATCTGACAACTAATATGGCCAGCAAATATAATGTAACGTGTTTGGAGTAGATACTTCCATGGCAACACAATAACAGTGGGCCGCTGCGTAGACAATGCCGAAACAACCAACGCGTTTCCCCGGAGATGAACAACAGAAGGCCGTTGAGTACCAACGGATGAGATGAAACACGTTACTGCTGTAATCTATAGAGATCGTTCCCGAAGCAACGGATTGCCGAACAAGTGAGATCGAACCTTGGTAAATGGTGTCTCATATCTGGTCCGCAGAACACCTACATAAGTTCAGAGTGACAGAGCTGCAGGACTACAGTTGAGATCTAGTTGCCATACAAGACAGTTGGAAGATAGCCGCTGCAGAATACAATTACGGTGATAACAATTGTAAGAGTGAATGTCAAATAAAGATTCGCTGAATCCGAGACCCACGTGAATTTATTTGTTGCGTGACATACACAACATGTGACAATATAATAAAACTTTATATATTCATCTAACATTATTACTTCTATGAGTAAAATAATGTATTTTGATTTCCTTACCCCTGATGTTAAAACATGATCTTTGAATTCTTCCATTATTGTATTGGATACTGTCATGTCCTTGAACATACCTTCCAGCTTTGAGGTGAACTGGCAACCACACTCAGTCTAAAAAGTAATACAGAGCAAATTAGAGAATAACTTATACAAAAACACAATACAATGACAAAATTACTGCAAACACATTAAGAACTGCTATGGCTTATGAAGAGTAACAGGAGAATGCACACACAACCAAAAATTAACAACCACCATTAACAATCTACAACCACATGTAATATACATTCTTGCAATGGTTCATGTATAAAACACATGACAAGCAATTAATTTCATAAACATTACCAAATTCTGTACCAAACACCTTTCAATTTGAAAACTATTCTAATCTTTGTGATTCAGTGTGCAGCTATAAATGGCTATTCCACACCATCTTTAAAATTAGATTTTACAATTTTCTAAATTAAGCACATAGAATAGGGACATGTGAAATAAGTCAGCTCTTGTCTACTCCTTGAAAATAAGTTTGATGTGAGAACAATGAGTTTTGTCGTTCACTGGATCATGCTGAGAAAATAGTAAAGTATTTCTGATCTGAGCACTTACTAAGTTTTCAAAGAGCCTTTATTTTGTAAGCAGTCATATATAATTAAAGGTATAATCTCAACAAACCTGAAATATCCTAACCTGTCCTGCCATATACTCATAATATGGAATGGAAATTTTGTTTTTTTTTATATTGCAGTTGTGTTTCATTTCTTTTGCCCCACAACACAAAAGTCTATGTTGCTATTGCAGTTTTAATTTCATGGGACAGAGAGTTTCCAAAAGCATTTCTTTCTGTACCTGTGTTTCACCTCTCTCTATGCTCATATTTATCAGCACAATAAATGATAACTTTAATGTATTTGTCAGAAGGTTTTGCTTATGGGAAATGCTTTCACTGATTTCAAAAGAAAGTTTCAGTAAAATAAATTTCCTTCATTTATGTATCTGCCTACACATTCAAAACACAGAGCAAATAATCATGTGACATTTGTATGAGTATCATTACTTACTTTTGTAGATTTTATAATCATTACAAGCTTTACAGTCTATAAATAAACAAGTAGGATAGATTTCATAAAGCTCCTTCTCCAAGTTATCCAACAAATATTTGAAAATAGTACCTTACCTTCAACTTAGAGATCATGTTCTTTTCACTGTCATCACTCACAGACTTATTCAGCAATAACCTCTTGGCTAAGTGCTGTTTGTAATAGCGTTCAAACACATCCTTCTCTTGCAAGAATCTGAACAGGACCATAGTCTTGTCCAGCACCATCTCAATTTCCTGTTCTGTCATCTATGTAAGAAAAAGCAAGAGGACAGAACACAGTAAGAAGAAATATGAAGGCATGAAAAATAAGCATACATAAAATTTAGTTCCTCATATATAAATAAATGATGATCTGTTCATAATACAATTGGAGAGGAACACCAAATATATTTAAAAATATGACTGACAATTTATTGAGTGACACAAAGAACTGAAAATATTATGTTTTGCTTACTAAACTGTGTCTAAAATATCTGAGTTTACATCAACAACAGATAATGACATAAATCATTGCATCATCATCACCACCATCCTCGTCGTCGTCATCATCATCAGCATCATCAGAAACTTGCTATATTTCATTTTCAACATATGATGGGAACCCAAATCACAAACTCAAGAGATCTCGCTGAATACGGGAATTTTCTTCCATAAGGTTGCCTGCTGAAGGTATGATATACCCTCATATATGTTTGAGGTCTGACAAGTGGCCTAGGAAACTAAAAAACAAACCTCTAAGAATGATAACATATAATCCGGTGATATTTAATCCAATGGAAAATATAAATTCTGCTTATTAAAGAACAATATGCAGGACTGCAATGAACTTCCAAATGCTTTGCAGTACTCTGTATCAATTTCATCATATTTTTCATTGATGAGGTTATTTACAGTCTTTTTCTTTCTAAATGCAGTTCTTGGAACTCCAGTTTAAACATTGTTCAGACATCACTAAAACACAGAAAATGGTGTACTGCAGAAGGCAATACACAGAATTACCAATGGCATTATTTCAAGATCTTCTGGAAAAGAATGAATTTGGCAATCCTTTAACTCCAAGAATTATAAGTACCTTCCAATATTTTATATTTTACTGACATCTTCCAACAGGTACAATTTCAATGTACACAAATTTCATGTGAATCTGTTTTTATACAAAAATCTTCCCATTCAATTTTTAGTAAAGACCAAAAATATAAAGAAACTATTGACCTGAAACAGTAAAATTTGGATTCACAAGCAGCTAAAATGAATGGTATTAAAGTTAGCAGTTTTCCAAAGAGAATTCAAAGCAGTTTTCCAAAGGAGAGACAAGAACATAATGCAACAACCATTTTTGGGAATGCAACTATTGCATAAGTCACTGAATACATGCACACCTTCTTCTTGATGGGAACAAAACATTTTTCAGATATACAGAAAAATTAAATGCTTGTATTCAGACAGGAATATCATGCAAACTGGACAATCCACCCATGGGTAATAGAGAATACAGTGTGTTCTGAAATCATTACTTGAGGTTTCTCTGAGAATCAAAAGATTTTAATATGGAACAGGAAAATAATAAACATACAAGAAACTAGTGAAATGCTACATTTGGAGCATTGCTTTGTATGGGGCTGAAACATGGACACTTAGGGCAGTAGATCAGAAACATGTGGAAAGTTTCGAAATGTGGTGTTGGAGAAGGATGGAGAAGATCAGTTGGACCGATTATGTGAGAAATGAAGAAGTGTTAATTAGAGTCAGTGAGCAGAGGAATATCCTACACGAAATAAGAAAACGGAAGGCTAATTGGATTGGTCATGTTTTACGCAGAAACTGCCTTCTAAAAGAAGTTATTGAAGGAAAGATAGACGGGCGGATAGAAGTGACAAGATGACGAGGAACAAGACATAAGAAGATTCTGGATGACCTTGGGGACAGAAGAGGATACTGTCATTTGAAGGAGAAAGCTCTAGATCGCATTAAGTGTAGGAATTGTTTTGGAAGAGACTGTGGACCTGTCGTCTGACAGATTACTGATGATGATGATGATAAGAATTTATTATACAGCGATTCAAACAGAAACCACAGGTGAATGATAAATGAAACCAACAATCTAATTTAAAGTAACACTGCTGAAAATACATCATGGGTACATTTGCAAGCACAAAAGGTGAATATTTTGCACAGATCACAATCCTGTCAAAGATTTTCTTATGTAACACATAATATAAATATGAATTTAGTTTACAAAAATAATTCATGCACTGGTTAAGTGTCAATGAATAATACAAAAATATTACTTACTCCTTTTACCCCTTTCTTCAGTTTGTCATCAATGAAGAGAGAGAGGTACTCCGGTGACTTGGGATTCAAGTTGAGAAAATGTTCAAAGTCTGATGCTATCATCTGCTTGAAGATCTTATCATTGTTGAAAGAATTATGGAGGAAATGATCAAACCTATCTTTGAGGTCAAGTAGATTCTGCAAAGAGAATTTCCTATCGACTTCAGTAACATACATAAAACATATAAATTCTAACAGAAGACTTTCTTCTAACAAATGTGGGGCTACTTATGCTGAGTTTTTGAGAAGATTGTTACAAAGTACATCTGGCATTCAAGTTTTAACATTATAGAACTAACATTTTCCATACTAGTATTCTGCAACACATCATACTGGAAACTGTGCACTGGAAAAGCATCATGATCTTCAAAAGATGGCCAGTGTAGTGCTTATTACAGTAAGAAACCTTGAATAAGAGACAGTATTGCCTTGAAAGCTTAAGTAACATCAATTTAAATTAAGTAAAAAGTAAAAAAGTAAAGCTATCCCTGTAACACAGGGTTGTGAGACGTTGAGGCTCCCAAATTATCTAGACAATCAGCTCAAAGACGGCAGTAAGGTTGTCAGCCTTACGTGCTGGCCACGCTTTACTCCCCAGGAAAATTATTTAAATGAAGTGATGTAACAATCTCATTCTATGAGAAAATCAAGAAATAAATTAACATGATTCTTATTAAAAAATAGGGAAACAGAGATAAAGGAGAAAAGAGGTATAATTATGATATGTAACTTACCTGAACAAAATTGATGGCATTGGTTCCTCCCTCATCTTCTTGAACAAGAGCCTTGCCCTGCTCTCTCAGGTACTGACTTACACAATCAGCCATCGTCTTAAGACCATCTGTTACTCTGCTAAACAGTTTGTACATACATGCTAGATCTTCAGTCTTCTGATTCTTCAGCATGTGAACAACACCAGAATTCTCCATCTAAAAATACAAATTCAATTCAAATTTGATATGCAAAATGTAAGATGCACACTGATATTTACTCTTGACACATATATAACTAATATGGGAACTAAAACTGATGCTGCACCTGAGATTCACTTGCTTTACAATTCAACCACTTAATTTTATAAGCTCGGAAACTGTACCCCGGGTAAAGGTACAAAGGTAAAGATATCCCTGTGCTTAATTAATTAAGCACCACACCAAGAAGATCTGTGGGGAATGGAGGTATAGCTCCACCATTCTTGACCTTGGCGCTAGATGGAGGTAAGCAGTCAGCTTCACATACCCACCAAAATTCTCCCAGTAAAGAGCTCCCAATCCCCATTTTATATGAGGCTGGATGAGCCCCAAACCAGGCTAGTCATTGTAAAGAATAGATAAATCTTTTTCTCCTGTCAGGAATGCGGCCTGCAGCCCATCGCTGTGTGACAGACCAGAATGAAACAAATAAGAAAAAAAATTACTCAATAGTAACTGGCTTAAACCATGGTAAAATTATGATATAATTCTATTTAATGTTTTTCCTCATTTACCATTCAATTGCAATGAACCAGAGTCAATAATCCTGGTGTCAAACTACCTTCATTTAAGATTTCCTTCAATTTAATGTTCAAATCCATTGTTCCTAAAAACCAATAAATGGTGGTTTCAATCTACAACAGTAAAATGGAAAGATAAAACAAACTTTTAATCATAAGACTGCACTGAAACTGCATTAACCCCTCTGCATCTTTCCCCACTTTAGGTAGCCTGCCATAGGAGAACAGATCATAACTACTATAGATACTCGTTGCAGATTCTTCCAAAGTCAGGATACCCAGCTCTGAACCCACAACCTCACAAATATCAGGAGGTGTACTAACAACTTGACCACACTTTCATTAGCAGTGTACAAATAGTTCAAAACCAAGATACTATTGGAAGAATATGGTACTGTGAACACAGTAATAAACTTTCAAGTTCCTTAAAATGTGGGGAACTTGTTTGTTGAATAGGTGATTATCAGTTCCACAGTATTATTTAATGGAAATAAAAGTGAATGAAAGGGAATGAATTATACTGCCCCCACCTCCACAATTGTTTTCATATGTTTCTTTATTAGCTCCTCTTCAACAACTTCTACAATCCTTGGTTCTGTTGAAACATCTAGATAATGTTTTGCTCTCTCTGCTTCTTCATTTATTCGAGCTTCTACTTTCTTAATGTACACGGATGCACTGTTTTCAGCAAGGAACTTCTGGCTTTCCAACTGAAACACAAAGTAATGGACAATAATTCTGAAGACACAAACATCACATAAAAGGAGAAAGTTATGGAACACTTGAAACAAAATTACAAATGTGATCAACTGTAAACACAAAATCCTTCACTGGCCCAGTCATATACAAAGATATACTAATCCAATTTCTCTTGTCATAAATTATGTTCAATACAGTTTTCCCCAATTCCATTTTCTTCATCAACATTATAATTATGTATGGTAATGTACTACAAAGCACAGTACATGGCAAATATTCTGTAGTAGGAATTTTGTAAGATTGTCAGTTGGAAAATGGGAGTATGTTGATGACATTTCTGTCAATAACAGTTTCATATTCTTTCGGCTTTTTGACAGCAAGAAGGGTCTACAGAGTTATATCCTCTCAACTAACAATCCTTCTTATTGTTCACCAGTCCCACTACCCTAGATTCAGTTCTCTCTCCCTCCTAATTCTATGGATCTGAGAGCCATCTCAATTTCTCACAATTCCACATCCCTCTGATTATGATCAATACTGGGACTCTGAAAAGTCAATTTTTCTCACATATCCTGTTCACCATGGATATGAGTGAAGACAATCCTGGCAATGCACCCATACAACCTAACTGCATTGTCATCCTACTCACACCACTTCTAAAAATGGAGGCAGCGTGTTCCTCCAAAATGGTGGTATTCACCTATAAGACTGCACAGTGTCACAACCCAGAAGACTACAATCTATGCAATGAATGCAATGAGAATCTTGCAAATGATGGCTAATACATAAATAATTAAAATAAAATTAAATGCTTGGGCCATCTCCAATTATCTAAATCCCCTTGAATATACACTACTACAAAGAAACATAAATGTTTTTGCATAAAAATATATGAATCATGAGACTCAAATTGCACTAATGGCTGATTATATGCTAATATGCACAGGGAAGTTTTAACAGAGCTATCTTTTTTGAGCAACAAAAGTAACAATATAACTCATTACAGGAATATACTGTCACAATTGGAATACAGAATTTATTGTTAAAAGTATAATAATTACAATATATGTTCTGTCAATATCTCTTTTGCTCATTCTGTGTCTGTAGACAGTTTTATCATAAAGAGTTTCAACAGCACAAATATTTTTTAGTGCAAAATGTGAAAACCAATCTGGTTGTGACAGGATTTAAATACCCCATACAAAGTAAGTCTGGTCAAAACATTAACTTTGGCCATTTGAAAATCCCATTGATAAAAGTCAACAGTTTATAATTTATAGATTAAAACTATCTTTCATGACTTGAGCTTGCAAATACACACACACACACACACATATTACAAGAAAGGAGATCGTGAGAAAATAATTTCCACTTCCTTTATCCATACTATATTCCACATGTAGATTCCTACTTCCCCTGCTTGCAGTGTATTGTATGAAGTTTCTGCCAACTTACTCTATAGAACTCTGCTGACTGCTGAAGGAATGGTCTCTCAAAATCCTCTTCATAAACAGACCTACTGTTGATCCCAAGCACCATGAGCATTTGACAGGCATTTTTAATGGCAATTCTATCCACCACCTCACCTTTCCTCTCTCGCATAACCATGTCTAATAATGTTTCACGAAGATGATCCCTTATACAGCCATATCGGACCACCTGCAAGTTAACCATCCAGAGACAATAGGTTAAAAGGTATCTAAGGTGATACATAAAGTGGTTGCCAAAGATTCAACAGGTTGCTAAATATTCTTCATTGTAATGATAAAAAAAATGACAAATCTGTTTTCAATAATATATTTGTTTTAGATACTGGTGCATATAACCCCAGTAAAAGAAAGAGTGCTTCTTAAAACATGTAAACTTTATGCAGTCACAAGTGATTAAATACTATAGGATATTTGTGTATAATGGGGGCAGTCTACACAACAATATTTGTGAAAAACAAAATACACACTATTGTATCAACATCTGTTTCCATTTTGCTGTTGACGCTATACGTTTCGGCTCTCATATTGGGCCATCGTCAGGCATACAATGGTACTAGTTCTAGTCCTTGAATTGCATCTAATTTCAATATGGATCCATAGTGTTCTTGTGGGTTTTAAATGAATAAACTGAATTTTCAGTTAAAACATAAATACTTAGGCAGCAAAATTTAGAATTAAAAATTAACATTAAAATTGTACAGAAATAAGATATTTTCTCTAATAAATCTCTTTAAAACTCTGTGACTGCTACAAGTTGACATGCTTATCTGGTGGTAGAAACAATTATAGTGTGGGGCGCCTGGGCAACAGGATCTTCTCTCATAAATTAGGTCATGTGGTTTTGACCTTACTATTGTCCCATATAAGACACACAACAGGATGCATACTATTAAGATGATCAAATACTTCTAACACACTGGTAAACATGTCTTTCAATATCATACATTTTTCTTACACACTTTCACACCTATTTACATGTAATTTTCATTTATACAAGGTGTGGCAATAAAGAACCCGGATTACTTTTATGACTCATTTCCGGCCACGTCATTGACGAAGAGGAGGGTAGGGCATTGACCCTTGGACTTCCCTCTACCGTCACACAAAGTTTCATTCACGTGCATCGGTTAGTCTGGCCGCGACCATTGTTAGAAGCGGATCGTGTTTCTGAGCTCCGTCGGAATAATGCTGAGTGCTAATGCAGAACAACGTGCTAACATCAAATTCCTCACAAAACTTGGAAAATCTGCCACTGAAACTTACAATTTGTTGACAGAAGTATATGGTGATCAGTGTCTATCTCGCACGCAAGTTTTCGAGTGGTTTAAGAAGTTTATGGAGGGTAGGAAAAACGTCGGGAACGATCCAAAATCGGGCCGTCCTCCCACTGCGAAAACTCCAGAGAATGTGGAGAAGGTCGCTAGAATTGTTCGAAGAGATCGTCGACTGAGCATTCGAGCAATTTCTGAACTTACGAACATCAATAAGGAAAGTGTTAGACAGATTTTGCACGACGATCTGGGCATGAAAAAGGTGTGTGCTAAAGTGGTGCCAAAAATCCTTACCCCCCAGCAAAAGGAACATCGAGTGAATTGCTGTGTTGACACTCTTGAAAACATTGAAAATGATCCTGATTTCTTCCAAAACGTAATTACGTGTGACGAAACTTGGATTCTTCAATATGATCCAGAGACTAAGCGACAATCCATGCATTGGAAGAGCCCCAAATCCCCTAGGAAGAAGAAAGCGCGCATGAGCAAGTCCAAATTCAAAGCAATGATGATTGTTTTTTTCGATATCCGGGGGGTAATCTACATTGATTGGGTGCCTGAAGGTCAGACTGTCAATCAGGTTTATTATAAAAATGTTTTGACGTACCTCCGTGAACGTGTGCGACGAAGGAGACCAGACATGTGGAAGAATGCCTCATGGGTTCTTCATCACGACAACGCGCCAGCACACAACGCGCTATCTGTGAAGAGGTATTTGGCAAAAAACAACATTCCAGTGATGGAACATCCACCGTATTCTCCGGACCTAGCACCGTGCGACTTTTTTCTCTTCCCAAAAATCAAGTCTGCGCTGAAAGGGACCAGGTTCGAGTCCGTGGATGCAGTGAAAGCAAAAGCGACGCAACTCTTGAAGAGCATAACACAAGATGACCTGCAGCACTGCTTCCAACAGTGGAAAATTCGCATGGAGCGGTGTAGGGATCGGGGAGGGGACTACATTGAAGGGGATAACATTTCGACTGTCTGATTTTTTTTTAATAAAGGGTTAGAGCATGAATCCGGTTTCTTTATTGCCACACCTTGTATATCTTCCAACAGAATGGACACAATGTCTCATCACAAATATTACAACCTTTCAATTTAATTTAAGCATTATGTTTTTTCCAGTTTTTATTCCTGCACCTCCCCTACAGTTTGACTGTAATCAGACGTCAGACAATTGAGGACTTGTTCAATATCTGAGAGGCAGTTTAATTCTTTGCATATCATATGTGGTGACCTGACAACTGTCCACAGACTTAAGAGATCCATAAGTAGGTTGCCTCCAAAAAGTGAAAGTGGTTGACCAAGACTATGAGGTTTGTTACCCGGGCAATATTCGTCTTTTCTTTTATGCTGGTTATTTACTGATGCTGTATCATAACTACACAGCACTGATGATGTAATGATTAATAAATGTGGACAGTTTGTGGAATAAGAATGGAAGGGGTAACCCAGGTAATCAGAAAAAAAAGCTCCACCAGCAAGGTTAACACAGAGGTTCAGCAACATAATTAATCTGTTGTATTATTTACAAAAAGACATTTTTCTCATCAGATGAGACAAAAATCTTTCCTTGCAAGCATGCAATAAGTTCAATTAACAATTCTGTTCAATAAATATACCAGAAAAATTACTACAAAAATTTGATCACAATCCAGATCCACAATATATGTCTTCCTTGAGAAGCTGATCAACTGAGAAAAATATTCCTGTTTTCTTTATAAACCACCAAAATTCATTATGATTTATAAAAGAGGTGAATTTATCCAGAATAATGTACCCTTCTACCCATATTTAGGTCTCCCAAGTAGTCTCTTCCCCCAAAGTTTTCCAGCTGAAATTTCAGACACATTTCTTATGGGTTAATCAATGCCACTTTCAACATCAAGACTATATAGTGTCAGATGGTAGGATGACAGACAAACTGGGAAAAATTTGAAAGGAAATGGCTATGGCCTAATGGAGCTACCATCCTAGCATACGCCTGGATGGAGTGACGAAAAACAATGAAAACATGTCAGAATGCTGTCCTCCTAGCCAAAATTTGAACCAAGCACCTCCTGAATAAAAAGCTAGAGTGTTACCTTTAAGCCAACTTGTTTAGTATCCATTTCTCATCCCCCCCCCCAGTATGCTGCACCTCCCATCTCATATATTCCTCAACTTTAAACCTCTATAATGAAGAGTATAAATTATTATACTAACAATTATATAATTTTCTCTTTCCTCTTGTTATTTAAACGGTGATCTCCTGGTTTATGACACTGCGCAGTATGAAAAATCTGTTGCCTCCAATTTCAGGGTACATGGAGGCTGCAAGTTCCTTCAAAACACTGGTTAGCCACCTCCAGACTACACAATGTCATAAATCAGATGACCATAATACACTCTTCACCATCATAACAACCTCAAATACCTTTTGTTACGTTCTTCCTTTACCCAGATATTCTACCACACACTCTTTTCTCAAATATCTTCAGTCTATGTAAGTTTTGAGGTTTTCACGGCGATGACTATGAAGAAAGTCGTCTTCTGGGTTTAGGCGCCATGTATTCTTGGTTTAGGCCAAAACTAAGAATACACGGCGCCTAAACCCAGAAGACGACTTTCTTCATCTTCAGTCTATGTTCCTCCTCTGGGGTCAGACATGAAGTTACAGCATACAACATTTTTAAATTAATTTAAATCAACTTTCAATCTTCAATTTTTAGTTCCACATATAATCAGCTTTCAATCTTCAATTTTTAGTTCCACATATAACTTGTATTTAAATCAACATCTAGATACTAGAATATAAATGTACATAGAATGTAGTCACTTTAAGCCCATGTATGTAAATATGTATACACGCTTTACAATTCAATAACGAAAATGTGTAAATCACAACACCTGAGGATGACCCTATAGGGGTCAAAACATGTAGTGGAACATAAGTTAATAAATTATAGTTGCGTTGACGGTGGAATTTGTATTATGAAGTTTCATACTCATATATTGCAACAATGGGCAATATTACTTAACATTCAAGATTTTTGATAGGAGGCAGAAAGATGAAAGGTTCAGGGCTGTAATTTTAATCTGCTGATGTTGTTTCTAAGTATCTGAACTCTTTCACATTTTCAGGCAATTTATTAGCCATCTTAATATTATGACCTCATTGTTAGCTTCTAACAGTGTTCCTGTGATTTTTTTAGTTTCAAGTTTTCATTACATAAATTACAATCATCAGCACACAGAGATGACCACAGATGGCATCTAGTTCTCCCTAAAATGGAATCTCACTTACCTGATCTCTGAAAATGATGAGCCCAAGGTTATATACATTGTCTACATCATTTTGCTGAACATACACACGATCCATGTACATTAATATGTCCCTGATCATCACCATGGATGTCTGGTGGTCATTCCATGCTTGGTTTAATGTCTGGAGAAAGTTGTTATGTAAAGCCTTCAAGACATCTTCTCTAACCTAAAAAAAGTAAACATAACAACCTAAAGAAAGTGAACATAACAGAAAAATTCCTGAAAACCTTATGAAATTTCAACAGAAACTCAGAAAAAAATGTCACATTTAAACAAAAGGATTGAGAAAACAAAACGTTCTTCATCAATGTTATAAAGAATAGAGAATAAAAAAATACCCTTTTAATAACTTCTAAGTAATCAATATCTTGTTAGTGAGCCTGAAATCTCACTTTCAAATAAATTAGTTAAGTATAGTATCATCTTAAACCACAGCTTTTATAGTTGAACATAACACTCACATAAGTGTGATAAGAAAACTTGCCTATATATTGTGACATGACAGCGGAAAGCTGGAGCAATTGAAGAACAGACGTGAGATTCCTAGGCATCAGTGTGGTAAACATGTTTCCGCGGCAACAGATGCTGATACAACAATGAAGGAAACAGTGTTTTCTACGCAGCCTGTGCTGAGGTTATATAATTAGGGCCAACTGGCCTGAATTGCACTGATCCCTGTGTGGAGGTTGGATCGAATACCTCCACTATATCCCTGCGAGTCGTAAGAGGTGATGAAAAGGGCCCCCCTTGCTTGGGGGTATAACAAGGCACTCTGTTCCTGGGGGATATAAATACCGGGACCTAGCCATCCAGTCTGGGGGAGTCTCAAATCACAGACAGTAAAATGTGGTCATAAGTCAGACCTGAGAACGACTGTGCTGGCAAAGACCAGCAGCAATTGTAAATGACAGACCCATCCTCTCATCAGAGAGGATATCATGTAAGGATTATGACTGCAAGTGTTCAGTTGAAAAAGAAACTCATGGTCATGAGTCTCAAGGGGCTTGTCACCAAGACAAGCTGACTGGTGGTAAACCGCTAGTTGTAAAGCAGCTCTGACTTTGACTCTCTGAGTTGCACTGTTAGCAGCCATTATCTGGCAATGACTGGTGAACAAACAGAAGACTTTATGTGTATTGTAGCTTTAGTGATTTAAAGTGAGCAAGTGAAACTGTTATAGTTATTTCTAGTTAAAAGTTATGAACATCCCATAAATCCAAACCCCATTTCTAATCACTAACACATGACAGTATGTTACTGTGTAGGATATTTAACAATATGATACATCAACTTCACATTCTCACATATGCACAAACTTACATTCAACTCTACTGCCCTCAAATTAAAGTTTTTTATTTCTGTAAAAGCATATCTTGTTTAGCTGCTCTGAGGCAGTGATTAGTATCGATGATTCAAGATAAAAATTTAACTTTACTTCAACTTGCAGTTGTCAAACCTAATCTGAATGTTCACAACAATTCTAAAGCTATGAAAACTTCAAAACAGCAGCCTAATACAAACAGTGCTATATGAAAGTTTTAGATATGAATACTTTCTTATAAGAAATGCACATACACTCATAAAAATAAACCCACAAAATAAATAAAAAATAAAAGGCAGCTACACACATGGGGATGGTATTAAACAGGTATTTCATTTATGCATGATGTTTGTCTGCTATATAAATACAATCACCTCACACTGACAGCAATTTCACATTACAGCCTAGGGAACTAAAAAAAAATCTATATATTTTTATGAATGAGTATGGCCTTGAGTAGAAGTGATATTTTTGATTAATTTAAAAAGTTCCATTTGGTCCTTTACACATTTCTTCTGGGATCTGGCACCATGTACATGTGGTGTTAACCGACGTTTCGGAGGAACGTAACGCCTCCATCTTCAGGGTAGAAGGAAAAATATAAGAAATCCGCAGGCGAAGAGACCGTGAGAACTGGTAAAAGCAGACTGGTGTTGGAAATATACACAGCTATGTGANGGGGGGGGGTTAAGAGAACAGATGAGAGGCTTGCATGACTTGCTGAGACAAGATAGAGGAGCTTCAGCATACTCTATGATCCATTTTAATGTCATCCTCCCATCTACTATGCTTTACTACATTCAGAATTAGTACATTTCCCCACTTACATTGGTAATCACCTGAATATGAAACAGCTCCAGCTACAAGATGTCTCAGAAAACAACAATCAGGCCAATTACATACACCAAAAGTTCATGTGGATTTTCCTGAACATCACCTGCACTGTATCAGTTATCATATGAAACACTGAGATTCACAATGCCAAAACCTTATCATACCGTCACATATTAGTGACCAGACACAGGGCTTGGAATGCTAATTGGATTTATTGAACACTTGTAACTGCAAATAATTATCATATTTTCACTAATTTACACAATTAAATCACTAAGCACCCACTGAGTCTCAGTCTGCTATGTCTTCACTGGTCATTGCTCTGTTACTGCCTTCACTAAGCAACACTAGGTTGCAGGTGCTAACCATGGAGGTTCTCCACAGCCAACCACAAACTGCTCACTTAGAGCTCATGAACTGCAATCACCAACTGCTGACTCAAGACTTTCCACTAGTCTTGATTATATAGCCTCAGGTCAGACCTAAGAGAAAACACCACCTCCAACAGCTCCTCTGCTGCTGTGTGGGCGAGCCATTGCCTAGGGGCAGCTCACTTGTTTATTGAATTGTTACCTAGCAATGGATGACTTCTTTTGCTAAACTATTCCATCATGTCAAAATACACATTTCAGTACAATTACACACACAGCTGTGAAGGATATCTATTTACAGGCACAATTCCCAATAATCTGAACTTGAAACAAAGACATTTATAATGTTCACATATTATGTCAATCTCAGTATAACATCAACAAGTGTGAATATTCTGCAAGGCATACAAGTACCTCAATAACAGATTCAACCACATGCAATGACAACCAAACAAGTTCTTTTAAACCAAAGTTTCAATGCTGGGAAGTTAATTAAAAAGATATGAAAGCCTGTGATATAAGAAAATCAACACTGGAATAAACAAATGATGAAAACAGGGTTACGTATATTTCATAATTAACAACCACAGTTTTCATCCAAATCTATGGATGAAAGAATAATATACAATTTTAGCTTGAACTGTAACAAATTTAGAGTTCACTTAATGTTCCTTACAAGTGGCTTTTCGCAACTTTTTACAGAACGGAAATTCATAATATGAAAAAATATGAATGAAATAAACCCCATGCTAATTACATAAAAATGGTGGAAGCAGGTGTAGACACATAAGATGTTATGTGTAACATTAAATTTCTTTCCTGGACAAAGCATTATAAGCATAAATTTAAAAAGTTAAATTTTCTAAGATATTATGCAGAACAAATTCTCAGTGTAAGGTAAAACCTAAACAGATTAGAATAACCCATTTTTCTCTTGCGTTTGATCCGCTTCCTAAATCTTTATCTGGCACATATACAATACTAACTTCATAACAGGTTCAAAAATTTCAAAACAACATGCTTTCTTGGAAGTCTTGAAGAATATAGACACTCAGACCTGTAATCTACATACAACTGTGATTTAAATCACATCACGGCCATAAACAGTTATAAGTACCTCACCTTTGACTCTAAATGCTGTGTCACAACTTCCTTCAGTCCAGTATACAGACGCTCACCATGCTTATGAAGTACCATAGTGTAAGCATTTCTGTAGAGTTCCTCAAAACTGAGACCTGAGTTATTTTTCTTCTGTATTTCCTGTATTGCATTTTTCAGTAAAGCCCAAATGCTCTCCACATACTTCTCATCCATTGTCATCTGCAGTGAAAGGAAAAGATAATTTTACACATGTAGTTTATGCCACTGCACTGTTCATGTATCACTGATTTTGAACTTTTCTTTAGAAAATACCATTAAGAAGGTATAGGAAAACCAGGTGGGCCTGAAATTAAATGGGACACACTAGCTGCTGGTTTATGCTAATGATGCAAATCTACTGGAAGATAATATACATCCTAACACAAAGAAAAACACAGAAGCTCTAACTGATCCTAGTAAGCAGGTTGGTGTAGAATTAATCACAGAGAAAACTACATAAATGTGGAAAATTTCAAATATTTGGGAATTACAGTAACAAACCAAAATTTGATTCATTAGGAAATTAAGAGCAGACAGAATTTGCGTAATGCTTGCTACCATTCAGTTCAGAAGTTTTGTCTTCTCATCTGCTGTCTTTGATTATCAACTGTCGATTTTCAACTTGCGACTGTACAGCACGTTTTTACTGCCTTGGAAACATGTTTACCAGCCACTGTCTAGCAATGGGTGTCTCTTCTGTGCCCACTATTCCAGCTTTAACCCATCGTGTATTAATATGCTGTGTCTACGACAGTTCTATGAATGACTGTATATAAGTAAGACATGACATACCAATTAACTGATGCTATCCCTTTTAAATTCATTCCCTTTGGCAGTTATACATGAAAGCTTTGTTTTCAGCCACATCTGGAAGTATTTCTGGAATGCACCTCCTGATATAATTTAGCGTGTGTGATATATGCTACTGGGGCCCCTCCAATGACCCAAAACACATCCCTTTCAGCGAAGTTCTTACAATCAGGAATAAAAGTAAATCACACTTAGCCAAATCAGGAGAACAGAGGGCATGTTCTGTGAGAAACATTGATTTCTCTTTCAGAAACTGCCTCACCAATACTGCAGTGAGCCAGTGCATTGGTACCACCTTAGCAAAAACCTTTTTCATTTGGAGGCTGATGGTTATAACCTGATGAAGACTTTTTATCAATCCACAATTATCCTTCTGCTATAAATCTGTAATTCTTTCAATGGTATGATCAAGCTGCTACACTTTATCAATATCTGCATCAGTTTCACTGTTGTCTGCTAGCCCAATCCAAAGTAACACAGTCATCTTCTCCACCTTCAGAAAAATATTTGTTTTTAAAAAATTCCTCCCTACAACACTGTAAGCACCTTATAAATTTCTTCTACAATATTTTACTTCTTGTGGCTGTTTTCTTCAATTTCAGCAGAAATTTGGAATTAATGTGCTGTTCAAAGAAATCATGTGACATCTTCATGTCATCAAAGCACAAAATGCTTTTCCTTCATTACACACTGTGAGCCACCAAACAGGCTGTCTAGAGGTATTCAGAAGGCACTAAGTCTGACTCTCTACCAGGACACCAGCTGTTCTGACTGAGGTTTCTCACAGTTTTCCCCAGTCCCATCAGGCAAATTCCAAGACAGCACCTCAATTAGGCCACAACTCCTTCCTTCCAAACACTTTCCAATTCATTAATCACCCTACCACCTGACACCATATATTCTAGCTATTGAAAGTGTTGCTAAATAAATGATGACGACAACGACTGAGCCACACAATAAATGCACATGCATATGCAACTGCTCTAACGACAGTTGAAGTAACATGTTATAGCCAAGGCAATGGCTAACAACAGTCTGCTTGCACCTGTTCTCACTGCCTATTCTCTTGTGGATTTTCTTATTTTTCCTTCTTCTACCCCGAAGCTGGAGGCGATATGTTCCTCCAAAACGTCAGCTAACACCACATTCACATGGTGCCACATCCCAGAAGACTGCTTTCTTCATAGTCACCACAGTGAAAACATCAAATCTTACAATGGCTAACAAGTTTCCTACTTTTTCTCAGTCCTATTGGGCAAAACCACTACTACCAACATTTCGAAGTGGAGAGTGAGAGTTTAAAATCTAAACCTCTTTCTACAAATGGTCCTGGCATCACTTCACAGTTTTACTGGAATATTTTCATATTGTCACATGTTTTGCTACTGAAAACGCCGTTCGGATTGTTAAGTGGTTTATTTAACAACCTACAAATCGTAACTACAATTCACTATGACAAGGTTGCAGGTTTACACACTTTACAAACCCTACTCACAAATCTCTTCATACTATCACGATTCACTCGTTACAACTGAACTTGGTGACTTCTACAATTCAACTGTCTTCGGCAGCTGCTATATTTTAACTGCCTCCTTAGTCAAAGTCAAAGTCAAAGTCACATTGCGACTGATGTCCAGTCAGTCAGTAAGTCTTGGTGTCGAGCCCCAATCTGGGGGCTCATGACCAGATATTAATTATTACCATCTGACAGTTACGATCTTCTTTTCGTGGGGCGCCCTCTCTGACGAGAGGATGGATCTTTCTTTTGTATATGCTTCTGGTGCTCACCAGTGCAGTCCTTCTCAGATCCGAGTCCTTGGGACTCGCGACCATATTTTACTGTCTCAGATTTGAGACTTTCCTTTTCATCACCTCCTACGACTCGCAAGGTCACAGTGGAGGTATTCGACCCTGCCTCCACATGGGGTTAACTGGCTCCTTAGGCAATGTAGTTCTCTTATAAACCCTCAGCCAGACAACGGGAAAACGCCTCGCTTCCTTGTTGCCTAGTCGCCGTGTTTGCAAGGCGCTGTTGGGCAACGCTGCCGAGAGTTGTTTATTGATGCATAGCAACCGCGGCATCCTCCGCTATGTCACCGCGGGGGAGGGGGGCGGAGTGTTGGCTGGCCTGTTACCGCAGTAGCGACAGCGCTCCGATGTTGTTACGTCACCATTGGCGGGGGAGGGAATGTCCTCCATAGCCCAATATGTCACAATATTAATGATCTGAGGGATTTAAAGCTATAGAATCAGTGGTCTGTGACAGACTAGCTTTTATATTGAACTTCACAAAAATCACTAAAACTGTTCAAAAATTAAAGTGAGCCTGGCATTGCAGCACCTTGAAATTGTCCTTTCAATAAATGAGGCCAAAAAACAAACCATATAAGTGAAACAAAAAATTTCATCTGGGTTGCACCACCATATAGTCTGACAAGTGGAATGTGTTTTGAGGGAACATACTGCCTCCATCTTCAGAGCGGCAGTTGGTATCACCTATCAGACTACACAAATGTCATAAACAGAACACTGCAACATGAATCTTCACTGGCATGAAAACCACAAATTATATAAATAAGAAATTACTCTGTATGTCTAATAAAGAGGTAAACATTAGCATTCAAACTATGCCAAAATAGGTTCTAACTCTTTGTAATACAGACATAAATGATGTCTATGTGACCAACTAAATCCATCACACATCTCCACTGATAGAACTCCAACCATCATATATCCTCATTTTGAAAGATTATACGACGATACACAGCATTAACTGTTATGTGCCAGTAATTATTTTAGTGGGACTTATGTTTTGTGCACATTGTAATATGCTTATAATCAATTAGTGACCACATATATTATATTTAAGCATCCTGTTGCACTCTATACGATAATGCTTATAATCAATTAGTGACCACATATATTATATTTAAGCATCCTGTTGCACTCTATACGATAAATGATATAATGACACAAATTCCGTCCCAAGTGCAAACAATATATTATGTGTCCTTGATCTTGTTCACCCACACTAC